TGGCTCAGCACGCCCATCAGGTGTCTCGCGGGCTCAACACGCCCATGCGAGGGTGCCGGGGCTCAACACGCCCGTCCGACGGTGCCGGGGGCTCAACACGCCCATCAGGTAACTCGCGGGCTCAACACGCCCATGCGAGGGTGCCGGTGGCTCAACACGCCCGTCCAGCGTACCCGTGGCTCAACACGCCCATGCGAGGGTGTCGGGGGCTCAACACGCCCGTCCGACGGTGCCGGGGGCTCAACACGCCCGTCCAGCGTACCTGTGGCTCAACACGCCCATCAGGTAACTCGCGGGCTCAACACGCCCATGCGAGTGTGCCGGGGGCTCAACACGCCCGTCCGACGGTGCCGGGGGCTCAACACGCCCGTCCAGCGTACCCGGGGCTCAGCACGCCCATCAGGTAACTCGCGGGCTCAACACGCCCATGCGAGGGTGCCGGGGCTCAACACGCCCGTCCGACGGTGCCGGGGGCTCAACACGCCCGTCCAGCGTACCTGTGGCTCAGCATGCCCATCAGGTGTCTCGCGGGCTCAACACGCCCATGCGAGGGTGTCGGGGGCTCAACACGCCCGTCCGACGGTGCCGGGGGCTCAACACGCCCGTCCAGCGTACCCGGGGCTCAGCACGCCCATCAGGTGTCTCGCGGGCTCAACACGCCCATGCGAGGGTGCCGGGGGCTCAACACGCCTGTCCGACAGTGCCGGGGGCTCAACACGCCCGTCCAGCGTACCCGGGGCTCAGCACGCCCATCAGGTGTCTCGCGGGCTCAACACGCCCATGCGAGGGTGTCGGGGGCTCAACACGCCCGTCCGACGGTGCCCGGGGCTCAACACGCCGGTGGCTCAGCACGCCCATCCGGCGGGGTCGGGCCCGAAGGCCCAACTGACTTCTCGGTGCCAAACACCCTGGTTAAGTACCCGCCGAATGGTACCCAAGTGTTGGGGGTAGAGTACCTTACCTCCCCTTCGGAGCATCTTTCCCCTCCTTAGGAGTCATTTTCGTGTCTCCGGGTACTTTGGTACCTTTAACCTCAAAATTCTCTAGGGAGTCAAAAACACTTCTTTACAAAATTTACACTATTATTAATGCTCATGCCCCTACAACTGAGAAAAACTTTCATACAAAAACTATGGAAGAAGTAGAAGATTTCTGGGATCTTTTGGATCAGACAATAAACCAAATTAACAAGAAACACGTTAAGATATTAATTGGAGATTTCAACGCACAGTTGGGAAAAGAAAAGAAATACAGGGATGTAATTGGAAAATATGCCCCTCAGAAACAAACCAATAGAAATGGACAGACTAGTTGAAATCTGCAGAACGCATGGACTTATCAATAAATCCACATATTTTAAAAGAAAACCAAGTAAACTAAAACCATGGAAACATCCTGATTGGACCAAAGGAGAATGGCAGCTGGACCATGTATGCATGGACAAATCCTTTCTTAAAGAAATTCAAAATGTTAAGGTGTTAAGAGGAGTTGATACAGGCTCAGATCATTATCTAGTGAAAATTAAAATTAAATTCACCCCATTAAGAAATACCCCCGCCGCAGCAAACCTGCAGACTAAGCGAATTTCAACTCGTCTGATTACATTTTTACTAAAATATTTCCATAAATAAGACATATTATTCCCTATTTAAATAACACTAGCTGTAACCCGCGGGCTTTGCCCCGTTTAACTTCTTAATTTTCAAGATTATCTCGTTCGCATGGCTCAATCACGTCCTGGTTGAAGCTTGTTCGCTACGCTCACTCACCTTTAGGTTGGAGCTCGTTCGCTGCGCTCACTTGCCTTCAGGTTAGCTCGTTCGCTACGCTAACTCGCCTCCAGGTTGAAGTTCGTTCGCTACGCTCACTCACCTTTTGGTTGCAAATTAGCTGTTGTCATAAATGTAAAAGAAATAATAGTGCTGCACCCTGTTGGTAATCCTTGTAACTTTAATGCTATTGAACATCATAGAACACAGAACCAACTTGTTTAATTGAAACAGCTGTTAAGATTCAATAATTCCATTTCTCATAAGGTTAACATGGGAAACTCCAGAGCCACTGGGGCGGAGCCCGAAAGGATTTTTGAAATAAGAATATGCCTATATGTTAATCGGGAATGTGAGCTATCATCATGCCAAATTTCAGCCCAATCCGACCAGTATTTTTCGAGTTTACTTTTCCCATACACACATACACACATACAGCAACCACCTCTTTTTTATAATAGTATAGATTAGATTTAACGAGTGCTTAGGTTTGCTGCTACGGGGAAGGTAAAAAGTGTTTTTTGACCATACGTCAATAGTATAGGATGAAATAAATAAATTTGCCAAATTTTATCAATATATACCCATAAACAAGTAAACTACAACAATTTTCATTTTCTCCATAAGAATAACATGGGAATTTTTAATTACACTATTTTTGAATTTTCTCCGTGACCGTTAGGCATACAACAGCGCTTCAATATACTAAATTATTTCTTTTTTTAAGCTCTACAAAACGGTTTAGAAAGAAATCGCAAAATTTTTTGTTTTTAGGTTCAAAAATGGGAATGCAAAGCGACAATATCAGAAGAATCTTTTGAAATCAATAGAAGAAAACTACTTCAAAACAAATTATAGAGATTATTTCAAATCATTCAATAAACAGTTACGTTGTTACACCACTCCTACATTGCTATTGAAAAACAAAAATGGAAAAATTGCCCATAATAACAAGGAGAATGCAGAAATTATGGCAGAAGCGTTTAATAAACTATTAAACTGCGACGAACCTAAAAATCTTTTAACGATGAATACGAACACTCCCATAAAAACAAATCCAGAAAATTTAAACCCACCTACAATACAAGAAGTAGAATTAGCACTAAAAGATATGAAAAATTATAAAGCATCAGGTGAAGATCAAATTTATGCTGAAGTGTGGAAGTATACGGGCAAATCAACAAAAACATCTCTACATATGATATTACAAAAAATCTGGATAACCGAGAAATTCCCAGAGCATTGGACCACAGCCATAATCAATCCACTTCACAAGAAAGGAGATAAGAGCAACCCAGATAACTATAGAGGAATTTAACTTTTGGGTTGTACTAATAAGATTTTTTCAAAAATTGTATACGATAGGATTAAGGAACAACTTGATAATGAACTAGGAGAATACCAAGGAGGCTTCAGACCTTGGAGGAGCTGTGCAGAACAAATAATTACGCTGAAATTGACTATGGATTACTACAGAAAACGAAACATACTTCTTTCAATAACATTTGTAGATTTTAAGAAAGCTTACGATACCATTTTATAGACCATCATTGTTAAAGATTCTCAGACATTTCGGACTCCACCCAAAATTAATAAAACTTATAGAACTTACCTTGACAAATACCTTCAATAAAATTAAATTTAGAGGAGAAATATCAGAACCTTTCCTGGTCAAAACTGGTTTGAGACAGGGAGATGGCCTTTCACAACTTCTTTTTTACTGTGCTCTTGAATACATTATGAGGAAATGGCTTAAGGCCTAGTCCTACTAATATTATAAATGAGAAAGTTTGGATGTATGGATGTATGTATGTTTGTGACAAGTAAACGCAAAAAATACTGGTCGGATCGGGCTGAAATTTGGTGTGATGATGGCTCACATTCCCAATAGACGCATTCTTATCACAAAAGTCCTTTCGGGCTCCGCCCCAGTGGCTCTGGAGTTTTCCATGTTAACCTTATATGAGTAATCCATATTTAAAAGGAATAAAATTATTTTGTCAGCTGTTTCAACTACTAAAGTTGGTTCTATGATATTAAATAGCATTACAAAGTTATAAGGTTTACCAACAGGATGCTGTACTATTAATTTTGTGCATTTATGACAACATCTAATTTGAACCAACTCTCAACAAAAAGCAGCAAAAATAGTAGAATTGCAACAATAAAAAATGTTTCTATTTCGTGTCCTCTTCCCGTTGCAAAGCACGGGTACAACAGCTAGTATTAATATTATAAATGAGAAAGTTTGGATGTATGGATATGTATGTTTGTAACAAGTAAACGCGAAAAATACTGGTCGGATCGGGCTGAAATTTGGTGTGATGATAGCTCACATTCCCGATTAACATATAGACAAATTCTTATCTCAAAAGTCCTTTCGGGCTCTGCCCCCAGTGGCTCTGGAGTTTCCCATATTAACCGTATGAGTATTTAAAAGAAATAAAAGAATTTTGTCAGCTGTTTCAACTGCTACTCAAGTTGGTTCAATGATATTAAATAGCATTAAAAAGTTACGAGGTGTTAGCCCGTCCTACGTACGGGAATTCAGTAGTAACATTGACTATGATAGTCAATGGTAGTAAGTTAAAACCGTGTACAATTCATATCGGCTAGTTTACACATAAGACAAAGTTTCTTGCAGTTTTAATGTGAAAAATCATCTTGTAAACAAATGTTATGTGACCAAATATGTTTTTATTCCATCATAGATACGATATGGATTTTAAATCCGATAATTTTACAATGAAACAGCATTTTTGCAATTTTTACGATGTGAAAAGCGTTGAAGTGAGATTTGCAGCCGATTCGCACAGACGCACACTGATTATAAGTAGCCTACAGTAGAGACCCACATTATTCTCCTCTGTTCTCTTCTTCCGCCGTTGCAAAGCACGGGCAGAGCAACTATAGTTTATTGTAAACTCGTTTAAGAGAATATAGTTACTGATTCATTATTCAAACGAATCACAATTATTCTTAGGGTGTTTTTCAATGAAACTTATTTAGGACATTAAACATTTATGAGGCTTGATTCTAAATCACTATAAATACGACAATGAGACAGAGCTTAGATTGAACAGGAAGATAGTAGATCTGCTTGATATTAGTAATGGTTTTCCCTCTGGCTTGTGAAACGGATGATATTTAATTGATCTTTATTTATAATGTGGCCAAACTTAAACATTCATTTACTGTTTTCGTCGTTGTAGTTAGTTGTGAGTGTATGATCAATCTTCATCACTTTGCATTTTTTGTTCAGGTATGTTGTTTAGATTGGTATTGACAAATGTATTACTATAGTTCGGCCGCTTAGAAAACGACCTGCGCGCTAATGCTAAACTAATGCTGGAGGAGGTCGCTTTCTAAGCGGCCGAACTATAGTTTAACAGTGATTGACAAATGACAAATGACAAATGACAATTCTTTATTGCACATAACATCTGTTAGAGTTATTACAAATGTAATACACAGACAGGTACATTGTCAAGGTTTCTAATAAATAAGTAAATCTAAATAGGTATATAAAAAACCTAGGATTTAGCCAGTAAGTTACCCCTACAAAGCTACAGCATTATAAAGATTGGATTTGCTTTATTAGTGTTATTATAAAAATAATCTGGTTTAATAAAATGCAGTGGTGTGGTGAAGCGGGAACGCAAGGGACTTCTTGTTATGTTAATCCTATCCATATGTTATTCACTTCTTAGACAATGTGTTCCTACTATCCCACGCTGGACACGTAACAACTACTACTGATGAAACTGCAGGATGGTATTGTTGATTAGGATAAAAAAGTTATACAGTACTTGCGTTTTAATTGAAAGGCTCATTAAATATTTTAAATTGTCGTTTAAACTGCCTCAGGAGCTGTCGGTGGTTTTTGTGGGGTTCAATCTTTAATTTAATGAGATTGAGGGTTTTCATGAACAAAATCAGGCTACAACAATGTTGGTCCTTTGCAAATTCAGTCAATATTAATGCTGTTATGTGAATGAATTTTTGAATGCTGTTTTGACAGAATATCAACTAATGACTTCTCAAATTGATTGTCGTGTTAGTTTTTAGTTCCAGCACCAGTAACATTGCTTGAAGTACATTACCTGTACTAGGATAAACTGAAATAACCTTGATAAAATTTCAGTAACCTCGGCATAAATAAGATATACTGAAGTGTATACTTTTTGATAAGGAACTCTTTAAATGTTTAGTTACTAAAACATTACACAGATTAATCAGTGCTACTAGCCCTTCCATCTCAGTAGTGGCATTTGGACATGTCATGAAGTAATAGCTACTGCATGGCATGTCCAAACAGCTCCTGTGCTTCAGCTAAGTCCAACAATCACATAAGACCGATGTGATTGTTGGCTCAGCCTTAATCAGTGCTGTCCTTAAGCCGCGTTCACGGTACTAAGTGAATACAAAAGTGTGGCGCGCTGGTCAACAGGCTTTTGTGCCACACCAGTAGTGATGATGGGGCCGATGGGAGAATCACCACCTGTCGTAAGGCGTGGACTGTTCGTTCACACGACCCAAACTTAATCTAGCCAACGATGAAAGAGTATATCATTGAAAGTTGTGCAGTTATACATTTTGGTCACATTTTAGTCAACCAGTTGAGACAGTCCCGTGAACCAATTATAAAACAGAACATAATTTGTTTTCGTGTAAGAACATGGATTTTTGAAAGGGATGCAGAGTTGCATTGACTATTTAAATACATTTTTTAGATGATATATCTATATAAGGGTTTTATATTTAATCGTTTTATCTATGGTTATTATATTTTTGTAATTACAGGCTAGGTTGTACAATATTTTACAGGAAAGCATTATTGTAAAAAGCAAACATGCTTTGTCAGTGTGGAATAGTAACAATTGCAATATATGGATTCCTGAAAAACTTTTGTCCGGATGGAGTTTATCTTTCCAACATACTTTTCAGCCCTCCAAAGAATTTAACAGTAGCTGAGGTGAGTGTAGCTGTTTTTCATAGCCCCAGTATACTATGTTAAAACAATGGTAAAATTACACACTATTATCTTTAACTGAGTAAATAATTTTAGAGATTGTATGCCATGAACGGTTTTTTTTATCTTGAACGAATCTGTCATCAATCAACCAAAAATTAAAATATACAAAGACCACAGCAAACCTGCAGACTAAATGAATTTCCATTTACCTGATAGTTGGATTTACACAAAAATACAGTATTCCCTAAACAATTTTCAGATTTATTTCCTCTTTAAATACTGTTAATTTCGATGAGTTCATAGGTATGCTGTTATATAGAGGGTAATACGAGTGATATTTTGAAAATTCTTTATAGCTTTGTATGAAGTTTTAAAAAAACTCCAAAGTTGAAGCAAACAATAACAGTTGATTTATTTTTAAGATTACCTAACATGGGTATTATAAATTTACATTTTTTTAAAATCTCCATTAGGTGTACAACAACACTATGTAAAAAAAAACAAAAAAAACAGCCATTTCTACTAAGTTATTTGACAAATGACACGTTTGTTCAAGAGTGAAGGAACAAAATGATTAGTAAACAGACTGCTATTGGAAAACGTAATAGCTGAGAATAACAGATGTTTGGAACAATCAAATTTTAAAATACAATACCCCCACCGCAGCAAACCTGCAGACTAAGCGAATTTCCATTTGCCTGATTGGATTTACTCTAAAATGTCTCCTTAACAATATCACATTTATTCCCTATTTAAATAGAATCAGTTTAACACATACTTAGGTTTGCTGCAACAGGGAGGGTAAAAGTGTTTTTTTATGTAAAATGTTAATTGTTAGTAGGAAATAAAAACATTTTCCAAATTTGGGCAAAATATGTTAATAAACAAGCAAACTACAACAGTTTACTTATTCTCCATAAGAATAACATGGGAATTTTAAATGAACAATTTTTTGGAATTTTCTCCGTAACCATTAGGCGCATTACAACGCTTCAATATACTAAATTATTTGTTTTTTTAAGCTCTACAAAATAGTTTGGAAAGAAATTGCAAAATTTTATGTTTTTTGGGTCAAAAATTGGAAAAACCCATTTTTACCCCTTAAAAGCCCCCATAAACCCCCGTTCCCATGGTCCGATCATGCTGGTTCGCGAACTCGTTCAAATAAACGAACATATACAGGCATATAAATCGAAGAACAAAACATCAATGAAATCAAATTTTGCAGATCATTTACTAAAATCCAAACATAAGTTTAACTAAGATCGAAGAAAACTTAACAATATTAGAAATTGAAAAAGACAGAGAAAAATTGAATGTAAAAGAAGAAATTAATATTTATATGAACTACAAAAATAACAAATCAAATATTTTAAATACAATGATTCCAAAATTGAATAATCCAATATATGAAACAATAACAAAATTGAGAAAATATTAATGTAAATAAGTACAACACATTATATAGTATATAAATTAATCAATGAAGACAAAATTATGTTACAAGTTAGAAAAGTTTTATAATACCATATGGTATTTATTTATTTACATATCTTATTTGATTTTTGTTTACTTTGAAAATGGCCTTAGAGCCGAAACTATAGTCAGTAAATATTTTAATAAATAATTTTACTTGGGTACTAAGTTTATTAACGTTTAATCTTTATTTATATATAGTAGCCCTATTTTTCTATTTTGCATATATATATATGAATTTGAACGGATGGTGTTTTTGGCCTCTAGGGACCTCAAAACAAAAAAAAATTGGTCGCGGGTCCAGGTCTTACCATGAGTACTACGGTAATAGCTTATTCCCTATATGGGAAATTCGCTAAAAAGAACAAATTTGTAAAAGTTCTGTTTTACAATGTGTATAGCCAATGTGTGTTACAATGTGTATAGGTAACTCAAGATATCTACGCAGTCATGGCTTACACAAATCTTTTCTTCACCTTTGTCGCACTTCTAGTCACAGACATTCTTCAATACAAAACCATTATCATCTTAGGAGCTTTAGCATCTGCAGTGAAGTGTCCGGTTCTATATTTTGGAACTACCGTTGCACATATTCAGGTAATCTATATAGGCCTATATAAAATCCAATGTATGTATGTTTGTTTGTCCTTTATGGACTCCAAAACCGCTTGACAAATTGTAATGAACCTTTCAGGCATTATTAAGCACTATTCAAGGATGGTTTGTGTGAAGTTTGGTGCAGATCCGTCAAAAGGGCTCCGCCCCAGTGGCTATAGAGTTCCCCATGTTAACCTTATGAGAACTCATATTTAAATGGAATTAAAGAATCTTAACAGCTGGTTTAACTAAACAATTTGATTCTGTGATGCTCAATAGCATTAAAAAGTTAAAAGGTTTACCAACAAGGTGCAGCACCATTATTTTTTTAAATTTATGACAACAGCTAATTTGCAACCAAAAGGTGAGTGAGCGAAGCGAACGAACTTAAATCTGGAGGCGAGTTAGCGTAGCGAACGAGCTAACCTAAAGGCAAGTGAGCACAGCGAACGAGCTCCAACCTAAAGGTGAGTGAGCGTAGCGAACGAACTTCAACCAGGACGTGATTGTGTCATGCGAATGAGCTCATCTTGAAAATGAATGAGCATTTGACGTAAAACTACATTAGGACAGGACGTCGTCTGTCGGGCCAGCTAGTATTTTATGTATAATTTAATCAAATTCCAAATTACTTTCAATTATAGAATGATTTTGGGGTTTGACAATGGGAAGTAAATTTGAAGGGCGATTTAAGAAAACACTCATAAATTGCAGAGTGGGTAGGTGTTCCTTTTATGCCTGCAATACAACACCACTAATCATGTGTTATGAATTTTATAATGTTTAGGAAAATGGAGTTAGCATGTAACTTACCTTTGAATTAATTTACCTAACGCAATACTGTTCACGATCAAACTAAGAGGCATATTGAATATTGCACAGTCCCCAGAAACTAGAAAATTCATAAAAACGGGTAACAAATTCAATAAAATGGTTTTGATTTTTTTTGTGACTTCCGAACTTGCTGCTGCCGAGACATAAGCTGTATAGGGAACTATCAAGGTTAAAATATTTTAGCAAACAATTTTAGAGTATTTTAAACAAAAAAATTCCCTTAGTATTAACTCTTAGCCTCAAAGCTTTTGTAACTATTCTGTTTGCAACAAGCTTAGCTTATAATATTTTTTTTTCAGATTGCTCAGGGGCTGTTTGCTTTTTACCGAGCGTCCCAAGTAGCTTATCGTACCTACATCTACACTCAAGTTAAGAAACATAACTACCAGCAAGTGACAGCTGTAGTGCACATAACTCCAAAACTGGGAACTTTGGTCTCGGCACTCTTAGCTCAGTTTCTCATGTCAACCCATTTCGTCACTGTCCAGAGCCTAATTCTAATCTCTTTTGTTGGTAGGTAACCTATAAGCAGTAAGCTTTGACTATTGAAAATTAACAGAATCAGCAATCTGACACATGCTTTCTCTCATTAACTTAACAACTCTTATAGTAAGGGTTGGGAGCAACTGTGATATTTTATGGGGGAAATTAGAAAAGCTGCAATAAATTTTCAATCCAAATTTTACAGCATTTGGAGTTTTACCATTTTGTTTAGGATCAAAAGGACCATAACATCTTATCTTATCTTACTAATATTAAATGTGAAAGTTTGTGTGTTTGTTTGTATGTTTGTTTGTTTGTTTGAAGTTCAATCACGCATTAAATACTGGACAGATTGGGCTGAAATTTGGCATGATGATAGCTCACATTCCCGATTAACACTTAGGCATATAAAAGCATAAGTTATAAGATTTACCAACAGGGTACAGCACTATTACCTTTTGGCATTTATGGAAACAGTTAATTTGAACTAAGCAGCAACAAAAAACTATGATATGCAATGAGAACTGTCAAAGTAGGATTGTTTACAGTTACTTTTATGTTTTTAATTTCATGAATCATATGTGATATTTTGTGAATCTTTACCAATTTATTTTTCTCTTTTGTTTATGGGAAGTTGTAGAATATTAAGGCCATGGTAGATGTGTAATATTGTAAATACTATACATTGTATACTGTAAATTTAAAGAAGCAAATTTTATCAAATTGTGTCCTCCCCCATTGCAAACGCAAAGCTTGAGTATAACTGCAATAAGTATTTTATACTTGTATGCCAATCCCGTACGAAGGACGGGTACTCTGCTAGTAGTAAATATTAATCAAAATTGTTAGAGCCATATTTTTATGAAAATCCTGTTTTACCATTATTTATGGGTTTTTACTATAAAATTCAATGGAGGGATTACTATAAAGTTCAAATATAAAAAAAATTGAAACTTCATCAAAATCGGACCACAGGTGTAGTCTGTAGCTCTGTACACACCCACACACATCACTTGGAAAACCACTTTTTTGGGTTCAGGGGGACCCAAAATGTATGTTCCACCCAAAACTCTTATTAAAACTTCTATTATTTAAAACACAGGGGAATATAATTTTGACAGATGCTTTGATAGGGGCTTTTCACTTCTTTCATGTTCTTATTACTTTATCCCTATACATAGTATATGGAGAAAGTATTGTTTTTGTTAAATTTTCGAGTTTGAGTTTTTAGTGGATGTATCCTGTTTTGTAGCCCCCTGAACCCAAAAAAGTGGTCTTCCAAGTGATCTGTGAGTGAAAATTTAAAAACGTACGTTTTCAGGAAAAGCACTTTGCAAATTTTTTTCCCATTTTTTCAAAACTTTTATTATTATTTTTATTTCATTAACATTTGAAGTTTCATAAAATGTCCATGGTAACGCAATATCTTTGGTATTTTTTTTTTAAAAAAGGGCATCTTTAGTGGAAAAACACAAAATCTTGTCACGACCATAACAGACGTTTAAATGAATATTAAAAATAGTTAATATTATTTGTGTAACTATGTTTTGCTGTAAACTAATTTAATTTTATGACCATTATACAATAAAAAGGTCACTGAGCTTTTAGTATATTTGGTCTTTCTAGAAAAAAATAAAAAAACTCAAAAAATTGAAAAAAAGCCAATAAAATTTTTTTAAATTGTATAACTCCGAAAAAACTTACCTGAGACCCGAAAAATCGTTATGTTTGTATAGAGGTGTGCTTTTTTTGTGTATAAAACATTGAAATATGACGATATTTTAATTTTTGAAATTTTTATGATAGAAATCATAAACGTGATGGTCAGGGACAAGCGGTACGGTCGTGAATTTTCTGAAATAATCTAAATCTTTCTAAACAATCCTTCAATTATACTGTTAGTTATAATAAAAATAAGTGTTTCAATTGAACTAAACTGTTCAAATTACAATTATATTAAAGTTATTGTCACGACCAAATACACTATAATCCATAAGGCTGGATTGGTCGTGAAAAAACCTGCGATGGTCGTGAAACTTTGGTCGTGAAATTACGTGTTATTTGGCTCTGTTCTGGCGGTAGCCCTGCACCTCATGTTCGAGGATACAAAGTGAACTTCTAGGTTAATCTAGCAATTGAAATATCTTATAAACAAAAATTAACACCATGTCTACTTCATCGAATGACTACATACGGTCATGGACACACCAAAATTACAAAAAAACACAATCTTTCCTTTATTAATCTTGTAATTTCTCCTTTCAACTCGAAATGACCGGCACTACAATCCTGACGTACACCCCGAACTAGTCTCTAAAACCAACTGACTCCATCGACGCCAGGCTTGCCCCTGTCGTGCTCCAAAGTTGAAAATTTTTCCCAAATGGTCGTGACGCCAAATCGAGGGACAGACTTATTTTGTCATGGTAGTCAGTTTGCAATGACAATAAAATTATAATATGCTCCTTTTTTGTAAGTTTAATAACCATTGATGACATAAAAATATGGCTTTATATATTTCGGGATGAATAATTAGTCTAAAAACAGCGTGAAAGTTGGAAAATATACCCTAGGGACACGTCATGGTCGTGAATTTTGAGACTTTGAAAATACAAAAAAAATACCTAGAACCTATTTAAAATTAAATAAATGTGTGTAACATGTTGTCCCCGTCCCAAAAAATATTAAAACACATAATAATAAACTACAAATCCAGTATCTACGAAGTAAAAGGCCAGGGACATGAAAACGTGTACGTTTTTAAATTTTCACTCCTGTGTGTGTGTGTGGGGGGGGGGGGGGGGGCTGTCTGTATGTGTGGATGTTTACAGAGCTACAGGCCACATCTGTAGTCCGATTTTGATTAAATTTGGTATGTTGGTACTAATCCATGATATCTCCAGGATATTTTTCCCTTTTGATATTTTGATTTTTAATGCTGATTTTCCCATAAAAGTATGGAAAAATAGAATTTTCTCGAAAATGGCCCTAATAATTTTGACAAAATTTAGTATGTTGTAGCCCTTTAAATTCTGAACATAATAGTAGAACTCCCATTCCTGTAAATATAATGGTTCTAAAGATAATGTAACTTTTGTCATCGCTTATTCATGATCAAGGTTGATGACAAGCTAATAGGAGAAAGTATGTGTCAGGTTGCTGATACCGTTTATTTAATTGGCTACAACTGTACTATATTATGTGATTTGTACCCTAGTTATCTAAAAGTAAGTACCGGTAGTATAAATAGATATTCTTTTATAGGTATTTGAGAAGAAATAGTGTGTATCTGTAGGTTTCTGTATCATTCCCAAGAAAGCTCAGTTCTGGTAAATAAACCACTCAGCTGTCCTTGGTCACAAGGGTTTTAATAAATTAAATAAACAGCTGGTGTTTGGCAGTAACAAAGCAACACTCTCACTCTTCACTAATATCAATATTCAGGTTTAAAAAAACAAACAATATAATATTATATATAAGTATATAAGCTTCAGCCTCCGGTCTCTCAGGTAAGCTATAGCAGAATTCTACCCCCTTTAAAACAATTCTTTAACACTTTGGCTGCCCCTTAAAACTTTTCATACCTAATTGCTTCAAGGGCTGGTTGGAAGAATAACATTCAATACGATGACAGCTAATTAATGGAGTACACATTCCTAACAACTGCATAATGTAAACCACTAGTTAGAGTTAGGGGTTATGTATGCTCTAGATATCATTTATAGCAGCTCTTGACTTTGAAAATACTGTACTTAGGAATCAATATATTTATTGATATGTGTTTTTCTAGCACTCAGTGCTTCATTCCTGACTGCGCTCGCATTGCCATCAGTGGAAGGCACTGCTTACTCGGCCGACAAAAACTCTCTTGAAAAGCAAGGCGTTAAAGGTATACATTGTATAATACATCGTAGAACAATCCATGTTATATCAAAAGTAAAACATTACAGTTAAATATTTATTTTATAAAAAAACAACATTTCCAACACTGGAAGGAGGATTCCCAAGGATTGTTGACAAAATACTAAAATTAACCTATGAGCTAAAGAAAAGTAAACACATAAGCCTAGGGGTATGTGGTTTTTATGTACTCTTCTCCTATTTCAAGGATTTCAATATTTTTCTAGTTTAGAAATTATTATGAAAGAATATTTTACAAAACCCTATTTGACTAGTATATTTATTCTTGTAAAAAGTTTTTTTACCTGTAGGTCTGTTAACAGCTTGTAATAATTAAGAGTAGGCTATAAAATCAAATGGTATTTGAACATATCATATCACTTACTTGTTATTGAGGTTCCACAGTCTACACTATTGGTTCTTGTGTCTCTCTTATGTACCAGGGTTTTGCCGCAAAGCGAGAGTGGTAGAACCCTTGTCGGACTAGGGGTGGCTTTGAGACAAATTCATCCAGGTTCTGATCACATTTTGATATTGTCCAAACATCATCCAATGTATACACCAAGGCGTTGGACCACAGAGCGTGTCCGACCATCATGTGTCTTATTAAGAGCCAACTGCATAACACAGCCATTTTGAGTGTGGCTGGTTAAATTACAAACATAATTTGTTGTGGCAGGCTGTCAGAGATATCGTCATGCCGCCCGCCTACTCTGGGAGGAGCTCAAGTTTGCAGCCTCCAATGTAAACACCCTCAAATGGTGTGTGTGCTGGATCTTGTCTAACGGAGCCTTCCAGTTGGTACTGCTTCAAACCATTATTGGTAGAAATAAATTTTCAGGAACTGAAACCTTGATGTTTTGAAAATTTGGGTTGATATCAAACAGCTGTAAAAATATAAAGTCATTATGGTCAGATTTGTTTAGTAGTTGACTACAGTGCAATTTAACTAACTGTGAATAATGTAAAACCACACAACCAGCCTTAAGTGGGGGTCTAGTGGTAGAGCACAGGCAATGTGTGAAACGGTTCCAGGCTAGAACCAAGGCTAGTTGGCTAATCGTCCAAGGATGTAAAGGTGGTAGATGAAAAAAACAGGCTTCAGTTCAGGAGTAAATATGTGTGTTTGGTAGAGGCATACACTTTACTTTGTAATTATCAGTTGCTCATTGAACTGATATTTTTGATGCTTTTAAAAATTGGTCAATGAGTAAAACTAGGGTACCGTAATTGTAACAGTATCGGAGAGAAATATCACCAATACAAGTGAGAAGTGACTTACTTACTCTTACTCTTACTCCCAGGGCCATTTATATCGGAGGTGATATTTGGCCGCACCAACAAATCTTCGCCAAGTTAACCGGTCTTTCGCATCATCCTCCGTTGCCCCAATTCTCTCCAAATCTTCTTGCACTTGCTTCCACCACCTCTGCTCAGGTCTTCCCCGGGGTCGTCTTCCTGTAGTGTTTCCCTTTAAAACTCTTCCCAGTCTACAATCTTCACCTCTTCTTATTATATGACCAGCCCATCTGATTCTTCGGCACTTGATTTCTCCAATTACATCTGTTCTATTATACAGTTACCTTAATTCCCTATTGTGTCTTATTCTCCATTCTCCTTGTTCAAATATTGGTCCAAAAATCTTCCTTTAACATTTTATTTTTGAATACTATTAGTTTCTTTTCATCTCTTTTATTTAATTTCCAGGTTTCTGATCCATATAGGAGAACTGGGCAAATTATTGTTTTGTACAGCCTGATTTTTGTTTTGCGGGACAAAGATTTAGATGAAAGTAATTTATTGCAAGCATGAAAACATTTATTTGCTGAATTTATTCGGCTTTGGATTTCTAGTTCATCATTATTTTGGTTAGATATAATTACTCCTAGGTATTTATAACTGTTGACTTTTTCAAATGTATGGCCATCAATTTCTATGGGTTCTTCAGTATTATCCAGGTTTCTTGAAAAGTGCATGTACTTAGTTTTTGAATTGTTTGTTTTTATGCCTACTTTTTCTGTTTCTTTCATAAATACTTCGGTTAAGGCCTTCAGATCTTCTAGTTTTTCTGTGATTATAACCACATCATCTGCAAAGGCTAAGATGTTTATTTTGGTTCATATTTTCACTCATATGTTCTTCTCTGCTACCTTCTGTAGAGCTTCTTCAATGGCAAAATTAAATAGGATCGGTGATAGCCCATCTCCTTGTCTGACACTAGAGTTTACTTCAAAGGGGTTGCAGTTGTGACCATCAATTCTAACTGAACATTTAGATCCTGAAATACTCATTTTGATTAAGGCTATAATTTTATTCGGTATGCCAAATTTTCTTAGCTGTGCCCACAATTTGTCCCTTCTTATGCTGTCGTAAGCCTTCTGAAAGTCAATAAATAAGGCATAAAATTCTTTATTGAACTCCCTAATAATTGGTTACTATTTCTTTTAAGATAAATATTTGCTCAGTTGTCAATCTACTCTTCATAAACCCCGCTTGATGCTCACCTACCAACTCGTGTGAGTATTGTTCTAGACGGTTTAAAATCATTTTTGAGATAACTTTACATGGGATACTAAGCAGTGAGATTCCCCTATAGTTATCACAAACTTCTTTCTCGCCCTTTTTATGAATAGGGACAACGACTGCTTCCTGTCACTCCATTGGCATTTCTTCTTGTTCCCATATTTTTGAAATTAGATTCCACAGCTTTTCTGCTATTATTTTTCCTCTTCTCTTTAATATATCTGCTGTTAATTCATCTCTTCCTGGAGCTTTGTCATTTTTCAGGGACTTAAAATTGCATATTGTACTTCTTCTTTTGCTGGTGTCTCGATAAAGGGTTCAACATAAAGTAAATGTCCTCATTACTTTGATTTTCTTCTTCAACACAGAAGTTCCTTAAAATATTCGCGCCACCTTTCACATTGGGGCTTGACACTTTCAGTTAGTAGTTGTCCCTCCTTATTCTTTACTCCATATGTACGAGGGGTGAATCTGTTTTTTTTTTTTTAATCTTACTTTCCTGTAAAAATCTTTTGCATTGTTTGCTGTGTTTTCTTCTTCAGCCTTATCTATTAATCTATTAATATACTGTCGCTTTTTCCTCATCAGGAATTTATTTGTCTCCTTATTTGACTGGTTGTACATCACCCTGTCTTCTTCATTGTTGCTATTCATCCATACATTTTTCCTCCTAATCCTTTCTTCCAGCATTTGTTCACATTCACGATCAAACCACGGTCTTTTGCTTCTTTTCTTTTTCTTTCCACATACTTCTTCTGCCGAATCTAGGACTGCTTCTTTAAAATTATTCCGAGTACTGTTGGCATCTGTCTTTATCTAAGTCTTCTAGAATCTTAAACCTATTCTCTAGTTTTATTCTAAACTCATCAGCTATCGGTTTACCCTTAAGCTTTTCGGTGTCTATTCGTTTTTCTTGTATTTCTTCTTTCCTCCTTTCAACAGCTATTCTTTGGTTTACCTTTTGACTAGGATTAGACAGTGATCAGTCCCACATTCTGTTCCTCTAATAATATGATATTTATATAGAATAAAATATACTTTTTCTTTCAACAAATCTCAACCACGTTTAATTAGGCCTATATACTAATATTTTACTCAAATCCACGCAGAGCATTCAGTAAAGTACCATTTGAGTCACAAGGGCAAACTAGAGATTAGAGACAAGATGGTAGTGGCCAATCTCGTCAGTTCAAGGAACTACTGCAAAGGGTTATGTATGCTCTATCATAGCAGCTCTTGACTTTGAAAATACTGTACTTTATCTAAGAATCATTTCTCTCAACAGGTGTGCGATTACTACGTGCAAGCGTTGTGGAACGATGTTACAGGGTCGAGACAAAACACATACAATGCTGGAGTAGAAGCCATCTACGCCTGCTGTAGTGAGTATTAATTTAGATCTTTCTAACAGTGATTAGATTTAATTTCACGGGGTTGTGTAAGTGTACAGATAAAAATTTGTGAAGGATCGGTATTGAAGGAATTAAAAACAGCTGGAATTAAAATCAGCTGTGTAACAGGCTAAGATCAGCTGATTTTTTTATGAAGATCATTTAAGCCCAATGATCATTGAGGATTGATGATGCTTGGTTTTAATTTCCACTTGATTAAATTATTCCATGGTTTTTTTAATTGACAGTCTTTGCGTGAAGACCACGAATCTCGATTATCTTGTTTACCATAAGCTTGGAACGAAGAAACATATTAGAAAGAATTACTGGTTGTACAAATTCTTTTGCAATTTATATTCTTCATCTTTATCCACTCCCCTGTCATTCCCCTCCATAAATAAAATAATGATTTAAGTTATTTGAAACAATACACAGCAATACATTACAATTTGTATGGAGATTTTCCATAGAATTAGTTAGAAACTTCACAAAACATTTTTCCAATTATGTTTGCACAAAATGACTGTTACTACTTTTTTTGCACGTTTATACAACATATTGTACATGTTACAGGCACCATAATATGCTTCATGGTGGGCAAGCTGAAGATAGATTGGCAGAACCACGGGGAGATTGTCATTGCAGTTTGTACCCTGGTACAAGCAATGGCTCTCTGTGCTTCAGCACAGTCCTCGTCCATCATAATGTCTTACGGACTTTACATCACTGCTTCTCTACTTTATGACTTCATGACTGTCATCAGCAAGTAAGTATAACATGCAAATCTATGTAATATAGTTTCATGCTAAACAAGAGTGAAGCATTAGTTTCAATTTCTACTACTGTTTTCATGAAGGATTGTTTTTCTTCTTTAAATGATCCTTGTACACTTTTACGGGTACAAACGGTCTGTGTAATTTTATCCAAACACATTTTCTTATGGCCTACTGATTCTATAAATTTTACTTCCAAACTTAAGTCCAAATCTAATAGCAGTGTAGTACTTTTTAACACGCTGTCACTTAGATAACAGTACACACAGACCACGGGCGAAAACCTGTAAAATAGTGAATACATTGTAATACGCTACAATCCTGTTTGTAAATAATTTATTCTTGTTTTTTTTTTGTATTTTTTATAACCTTTTGTAATGTTGCATATTTGCGACACCCGCTCTACAGTGAAGACAATAGTGAAAATTATCATAGTTTTCTTGAAATAGACCAAACGTCGCATATATGCAACAGTTCATTTATGTTTGTGCTTTGAGGTACGAAAGTAAGTAAAAAAAACAGATTATTCAAGAACAGTTTATAACTGAACAAATATAAAAGCTAAATGGGATAATTCTCAGCATACATACTGCATACTTACATGCATATCCACAGACCAAGCAACGCAGTTGTGCGTCAGACATCTCTGTAGACCACTGCAGAGAATTCAGTGCCTTCAAATAGACCGTTACAAAGATATAAGCATTTTAATAACATTAGAACCCCGACGCAAATATGCGACGGCAGTCTATTTTAATGTGACTAGCTGTCGCATATACGCGACGGCAGTCTATGGGTGGAAACCGGCCGTCACATATGTGTCGCTGGTCCATGTGAATGAAAAATTCCGTACTATTGCAGTAGCGAACGTGTTAAACTTTATAACCTAAGGTAACTCTTCAGTAGAAATCAACAAACAAAGTTATTGAATTTAAAATTAGTTCACAGATAGCGCTGCAAGTGAAGAATGACAGTTTTGGGCTCATCTTTGGGATCAATACATTCCTATCAATCGGTTTCCAAGGTATTCTAACATATGTTTTGACTTCCAAGAACACTTTGGCTCTTCCCATCCGTAAACAGGTAGGTAATCAATCATCAGTTATAAATATTGTCTTTGACATGTTAGGACTAGGATGAGAGTGTAACTGTGTTATATCATTGACTATCAATAGTAAAAGATAATTGATATTAGGACAATTGATATTAGGACCAAAATACCCAATCATCAGTTACCTTGAGTAATGCCTTTTTTCAGTCAACCCCATCCCTTAGCGAATAGTTGATTGATAACATAGTCAAACATTGGGGTACAACCATTAATGCAAGAACCAAAGGCTATTACTATAGTCCATTCACAAAATGTATGCGGTTCGAGGCATAGTTCCCCCACCACTTTTCTTTTGCTTAAAGTATGTTGGAGCTGATCGACGTTTTGGCAAACCTCAGCTGTTGAGGTATTGTTTTGAAAGTAGGATGAAGTGGAGGAGATAATTTTTTCCCTAACCCTGCCTAAATTTTGTGATTGCAGTAGCTAGACATTGTTTACATTACGATTTGTTACTCAAATGATAGGACAAATTCAAGATTACAAATCTGAATCTTAAAAGATTCAGTCCTCAAACTCAAACCATCAATACAATTTGTAAAGTACAACATAAAATCTCTGAAAACCGATTCTGCCTATATTATTTTGTGCAGGAGTCCAGATGATCAAATGTTTTAATTGCCATTGGTGGATTTGGCTTTGACCCATCAATACAACTTCTCAAAAATTTTGATCTCATTAAAATGTTTTGTAAAACGAGTTTAACTTCATTTACGTAAACTAGGAAATGGTATTACCAGGGTAACTATTACCGTACCGGTATTATGAGTACCTTGAAGATTGATGGAAAAAAAGTTTAAACTGTCTCTCGGTCAGGTATAGGTTATTCCACTGTTTATATATAACTAAGCTAATTTGAAATATTTTCTGTTCCAGTTTGTAGCAGTAGGCGTTTGTTTTGCTATTTTGGGAATAATATTCTTAGCTAAAACGATCTCATCGATGATTTTCTCAAGGTCAGCTTTAGTAAAGGAAAGTCTTCCAACAGAGCTGAGTATCAACAGTGTCAGCAAAGCTGCAACACTCGACATCAGAGAAACTGGTCGCAACAGTGTCGAACAATCTAGCCAAACCTCGCCAAGGTTAGAAACAATCAACTCAGCCAAGTCAAAAACATCTAATGGTGTCTGTATGAAATACTAGATAAGAAATGAGTAAATAGGTTAAAACGACAAAGTTTGAATCAAGAGGGCCTTTTGGAAAGTAACTTGCGTCAGTAATATACTTCAAGAGTTGCACCTCTTCACTACTTTCACTAATTCCATGTTCATAAAAATCTCCAAGTTTCTTCACCTTTAAAACCCAATCTTTTTTATAAGAACTACTCTACTGTTTCATGGATTAAACATGTGAAACTCCTCATGGATCACAAAACATGATTGCCATGAGTTTCCTGGAAGGGAAATCTTGCTCAGCCTTCAAGATTAAGTGTATGTGTGTATGTTTGGGCTTTGATCCTAGACTTCTGATCATAAGACGAATATATATTTGGAGTTAAAAATTGTATAACAGCTCAAACACTTGGAGAGATTATCTATCAAGCCAGACATTTTGAGATGCTGCAAAACCAAAATGAAAGATTCTACCATGGCTGGATGCCGATTGATCTGCTGCAGGTACGCTAAACTCACTACCATACAGCTACCTGTGTCCCGTAGAAGTTACTTTTCAAACAGCTCTAGTAATTAGCATTAGATACTCTGTAAATAGTGTAAATACTGTTTTTATATTAAATTTATTTTAGACTAGGTTTGTAGGCTAGATAAAACTCGTTCTTTAGATATGTTAGGGTGTTCAATTCATACCATTTGTTGTTTATACTATGAAGTGTAAGATATTAAAGTGCTGGTCAAAACCTGCAGTGGTAAAATGTTTATAAAAAAAATCAAGAATGTGTACATTAAGTATATTGAGTAAAGGTTACTATACAAAATGTGATTTTCACTAAGGTATCCTTCAAGTTGATTATGTACTATATTTTTTATAAAATCTAATTTGATTTTCAACTTTTCTCATAAACCTTTGTCAAAAATTAATTAGGTAACATAGAAATTGTGTGGGGATATAGTGTGAAATATGTTGAATTTAGGCCTAGTTATATTGGTAAACTTGTCAGTATTAGCATAGTCAAAAAGAATTAAATACAGACCGTCAGCCTAGCTGCTATACCATGTTTACCATAGGTTCTGGCGCACACTGCTAGGAGCGCCGTGTAGTTTACGTAGCGCGTACGCTGTAACTACATGGCGCTCCTAGCGGTGTGCGCCAGAACCTATGGTAACCGCAGCCGAGCTGACGGTCTATATTTGATTATTTTTGTATATGGTATTGGTAAATCCAAATGTATGTTTGATTTCTTAAACTAAATGTTATCTATTTGCGGGGAACAGTTTGAATATGAATCATTCATCAGATTTTGCATCATACTATTATTAGAATAAAGGGGTCAAGAAATCAACTGATACTAGCAGCAAAATTAGAAAAACTAGCAACAATTTAATAGAATCTATGTACAGTTTTGACATTATCTTAGATTTGCGACCTACTTTCTTCTAAATTTCTTCTGAACCTTTCTTCATTCTCATAAATTATACTCTGCATTTTGTAAAACGAGTCGGCTTCATAGTAAGTCAGCGTAGCAGCTGTGATTGCGTTTATCCCGATGATAATGGGCAACTTTGACTTCATCTTTCGAAGAAGGACTAACCACAGACTAAAAAACTGAGGTATGTTTTTCAATCCAGGTTTAGGTACATTGTACGTATTGTAGGCGTCAGCGTACTGAAAAATAAAACAGTTGGGTTATATTATTTAAACATAATTTATGAATAATTATAGTCAGAAGTATTTTTACTGTTATTGATATTTTCAACCATGAGCTTAAATACAAGATTGAGAGGTTATTTTGTCTGTTTAGATGACAAGTTTTAGCCCTTACCAGTATTATAATTTACGTCTGTTACAAAATTTGTTGATCATCCTCATAAGTTTTTTTATTCAATTAAAATAATTAGTAGCTATCTTGTTACTGATCATTGCTTAAAATAAAGCATTGTTTCATACCTGAAATCGTCAATTTTCTTTAAACACCCTTAACCCCACAGATATTAATCACAATGGCCAAAAAGACAGTGAAGGTGTCAATATCAATATGGACATTTTTGTAGTTATGAAAAATTTTATGAACTGTTGTTATCAAAAGAAAATGTTTGCATTGGGATGAAAAATTTTATGAATATCTTTCATTAATAACTTTATGTAGGCCTATATTTAAATACTTGCAGTGACTAATATTTAAAAGGAAGGAAGGTGAGAAGATTTTCTTACTGCTGATAGCCTTTATTGAATTCATCGTGAAAAATACTGGGTATTTCCTATAGTTTGGGCAGTTTAGGGGAACCAAACCAATTGTTAAAAGCTCATCTTTCTCATCATTTTAGTAAACTATGATATTATTCTTTTAATAGAAGTTAAATAGATGTCAAGAAAAGATAGAACGCAAAATAATATTTTTGGGATAGAGCAAGGAAGATCCCGAGCAGCGAGTAAAGTGCGAAGGTCTCAGGGCACAAGGGCACAAGGTCACCTCAGCGTGAGCGTCGAGCGTTGTAGTAAATGTTGGCAATAGGGTTAGAAGCATCAATGTTCGACTTGACCCTGGACACCACTTAAGAGAAACATTGAATTTTTTTCTGTATTTTACTCCTCTATAAAGTATGTATGTTCTTGTGCCTTCGATCAAAATCTTACTAACATTATAAATCTGAAAGTTTGTGTGTGTGTTTGTTGCTCAATCACGCATAAACTACTGGACGGATTGGGCTGAAATTTGGCATGATGATAGCTCACATTCCCGATTAACATTAAAGCATATTCTTATCTCAAAAATCCTTTCGGGCTCCGCCCCAGTGGCTCTGTAGTTCCCCATGTTAATCTTATGATTTTTCATATTTAAAAGGAATTAATGAATCTTAACAGCTGTTTCAATTAAACAAGTTGGTTCTGTTCTATGATGTTCAATAGCATAAAAGTTACAAGGATTACCAACAGGGTGCAGCACTATTATTTTTTTTCCAACCTAAAGGTGAGTGAGCGTAGCGAGCGAACTTCAACCAGGACGTGAATGAGCCATGCGAATACTTATGAAGTTAAACGGGGCAAAGCCCGCGGGTACAGCTAGTTAAGAATAATTTCACCTCTCAAAACCCTTTTCTTTCTTCTTTTATCAGCTGATGTTTATCATTAACAGCATTTAGAAAAAGCGAGTAATTTTTAAATAACACAATAAACCAGTATGTTGTTGATAACTTACAAAGAATGCAGCGACCGGAGTAGACAGCAGAGGAATGACAGCTCCTATTGCGACCTGTAAGGCAGCAGCTCGCGTCTGGACACACAATGGGCAACTTTCACCCAGGAGGATTTCGTTGGTGACCAACTGTCCAACATTTAAAGTGGTCTTAAATCACTTTTAGCCTTATGATGCAAGGGTGCCCACAGGACAATTTTATAGGGATGCAAATCGGTATATTGTTCCTAATAAGGATTTTTTGTTAGGATAACAGGCTTATCCGAATGGGAGAGAGTCCGAACTGGTACAGCATAGTGTAAAGTTTTTTGAATCCATCCAGTTTAGACTCTTTCCCATTCAGGTAAGCCCACTACTGCAAATTTTAAGAAAAACTTCATACTTTTTATGAACCGCATTGTTTGGTAACTTCACGAGGCCCGATAAATACAAAACTATATAGATAGTATACAAACCTATAGGTAGTTGAGATCGACTTTTCAAACTACAATATTGGAGGTACAGAGTACCATCTTTGACTATTAATGTTAATTTTAAGATAAGAATTATAAATATACCATGAATTTATGATTACACATAAAAATATTCACATTTAGAGAGCTAAATTGAATGCAATGAGCTACTAAAGCACAACAGTCAGTAGCCTTTTGATGGTTTGAAGCTGGACCCAGCAGTTTCCAATCATTGAGCTAATCCTAAATAAATAATTGATTAAACACCTGATCCTGACTCATCCTCGTCCTTCACTCATATTTGGGTCCCATCTCTAATGATAATGATAATGTTGGGATATTTAATATGGATGTAAGAAATAATATCATTCCTATTATTTAACAAAATAAATAACAATTACTTAAACTTAACATGTCTTTAACACATGTACATAGGGTATGATTCTTTAAGATTTTACCTTCCTGCGAATAGTTCAATGCTGAAATAAAATTTACAATCACAATGATTTTGCGGCAAATCAATTAAAAAATGATTAGGCCTATTCAACTTACATATTGATGAGATACGGCAGTGAGAACACTGGGTATAACCACTGTTGGCATAGCCATTGATATTCTGCCGTAGTTCTGGAGCTTTAGCTTATTTCTGAAGTATAGAACTACATTGAGGGAAGTTGCTGCATTAACACTCGCTAAAACACCAAGACCAATAGTAAATGGCCACCTGCAACAGTAGAAGAGATTAAAATTATGCCAAACTTGGATGCTTAGTTAAAACAGAAATAAGTGTTATTCATTTTTATGTGGGAGTTTCTAACCATAATTCAGAAAGCCACTGCCAAAAATTGCTACGGACTTTAGGTCAAATAAGATTAACAACATACTCAAATTAATTATAACAGAGAATACATAGCTGATCTATAAATCACTAACCAACCATCTTTGAAGGATGTGGAAAGGAGCTCTGAAGTCAAATCAGATGGTTTAAAGTAGGTAATGACATTATGCACACAACACACCAAGCAGTATTTTGATGGATATCGGACATAAAAATAGTAGTCAAACTGATTTGAGCTTGAGCTGTTTGCACGTCACATGTGCGCGCATAAGCATCCTATTGTGTGGGCCGCTTAAGCACCTGACATTGAAACTATAGTGATTTGACTTCTTTGGGATGACGTATGAAAAACTAACCTCCGTGGCTGTATAGGCTATAAAACAGACATAAAGATTAAACATACTCCCTTAGTAAATTAAAAGCTTGGATCCTTATGGAAGGGGCGATGTCTACTTGTACCGGCGTCTAGTTGTACCTGCTGCATTTTGGTGACAGGCGTCTAGTTGTACCCCGTCCAAAGCTGTAGAGACAACTTGACGATGGTGCGGACGTCTAGTTGTCTCTACGTCTAGTTGTCTCTACGTCTAGTTGTACCTCTTAAAAATCTACAGGTACAACTAGTCGGGAACGTCACCGTCTACTTGTACCTCATACGTCTGCGTCTACTTGTACCTACGACTACTTGTACCTACGACTACTTGTACCTACGACTACTTGTACCTACGACTAGTTGTACCTACGCCTACTTGTACCTACGTCTAGTTGTACCTGCGGCTAGTTGTATCTCCCCTTCAACTTGTCACCGGTTTAAGAGATTTATTTTATTTCTTTAAAAATCATACAA